CACAGCTGTTTGCATGGGCATGTGGTGGGCTGGATCAAGGACTGTTTCACTGTGAGGTCAAAAGATCAGCACGCAGGCAGAAGTGCTGGTGCTGAAGTGGAAGGCCCCGCAGCCTTTCTTCCTTCCTTCCCCTCCTGGCCTCTCACTTATCAACTGGTTCAGGCTCTTCAAAGCGTTGGGATTTCTCAAAATTCCCTTTGTTCTAATGCACTTTATGGATTTCACAGTTGATATTAGAGGACTGTGTAGAGGAAGAACTGTGGTAGATTGTGTCCAATGTGCATTCCTTCAGTTATAACTGCTGAAGTTGCAGCTTCAAGACTAGAGTGTTTAGCTTGTGTGCTTGTTTTGGTTGGTGAGGTGAGCTGTGTAGCAGTAATAGTGGATGTGAAATAAGAAGAAGGAAAGCAAATTTGGCTGAAAGCACAGGGTTTGGATTTCTTCATAGTATCATAGAATCGTTCAGGCTGGAAAAGACCTTAAAGGTCATCGAGTCCAACCATGGCCTAACCACTCTGTCCTAACTCTGACAACCCTCTGCTAAATCTCATCCCTGAGCACCACATCCCAATGGATTTCAAATACATCCAGGGATGGTGACTCAACCAGCTCCCTGGGGAGCCCGTTCCAGTGCTTAACCATCCTTTATGTAAAGAAGTTTTTCCTGATAACCAGCCTAAACTTACCCTGGAGCAGCTTGAGGCCATTTCCCCTCCTCCTGTCACCAGTGAGAAGAGACCAACCCTGCTGTCATTGAGCTAGTTTGCTTGGCAAGTCAGCACAAACATTTTTTTTTTTTTTTTTTTTTTTTTTTTTTTACATTCTAGAAGTCTTCATACAACAGCCTTAAAGATTACAAAGAAAGTTTAAAAATTGTGTAATCCCATGCAGTCATTTCTTCCTTCATTGCTGGTATGGTCTTTATCAGACAAGTGGAGCTTTAAAGGTTTCAATTCAACTGCAGTGGCTGTGCTTTGTAATGAGTATTTTTTTCCCAAATGCCTGCATATGTGAACCTTCTGGTTATAATTATTTTCCAGTGTGCCATTGTTTGATATTGCCATAGTGTTGATAGCAAGTAAGGCTTCTGAAGTCTATTACAGTAGCTTTTGTTTTATGGAGTGGTGGAACATATTCTGTAGTAGTTGCTGTTTTGACTGAGGTGTTGGCAACTTGAGGCTTTTATAAAGACTATTGGAAGACTAGAACTGATTAAAATAAAGGTATATTTCTAGTGGACTCCTTCTTTATATTGCTGTGTCCACGTATCTCCACATGCTCTAACAATTGATTTTTCATGCCTGTCTGTATGGAAGCATCCTCTCTTGTTCATTTTGCTTCCCTAAAGAAGATCTCTATCATACACGCAGAGCAAGAAGAAGTATCCTGGTGACTGTGTTTCAATATTTATTTTTTCTTCCTCTGAAAGCAGCATAATAAAGCCAAGTGCTCAAAGACTGAAACACACCCCACTGGTGATTGATATTTTGCTTGTGAGACTTCTCTGCCTCGGCAGCCTGAACCATCCTTGCTCCCACCTCCTCTGCTGACCTCCTCTAAACATCACAGACTTTGTCCTAGGCTGCCTTGGCCTCACAGGTTGCCATATTAACAGCTTGAAGGTTTTTCCCCCACAGGTAAAATTCATCTTCAGTGAAATGTCCTCATAAAAGAGTAGCTACAGAGAATGTCAGCTGTGCCATATGTCCCTTCTGTATCATCTGTCACTCTACTTCAGGCCACCTGTATTACTAAGAAAAGCTTTGGCTCATCAAAAAACATTCAATGCTTCTGTATTTCTTGTAACCACTTAATTAAAAACAAGAAAGGAAACAGTAGAGAGGTGGAACAAATTCTGAATGATAGCAGTGTGTTTCGGTGTTTTTTTTTTATTCCTTGAAGTATTGGCTGGCATGTATCTTCATTTGCTATCTAATCATTTTCATTAATTCATGAAAGCTGTGAAATTAGCTTGAAATTGAGGAAAAGTGAAGTCAAATGAGAAGGAAAAGAGTTCTCATTTTCTAAACTTGACGTGTGACAAATAGAAATAAAGTGCCTGTGGATGCAAAGGATGTAGCTCACTAAATGCTTAGAGCTCAAAGTATGTCCTGAAGTGTTTCCTGTGAAACTCAGTTCAGTATGATAGAGTAGAGCTAGTAAGAAACACCATGAAGTGTTTTTTTCTGGTACAGGTTAGATTGAAATTAGTATTCCTGTGCAGACAAAATTAATTACTGTGTAGTAAAGTGAAGTATTGCGTATGCTTGAGCTTCTTGAGTCATCTAATTAAATCTAGCAAGTTAAATTTAATTGGAAGGGATTTTCTTTGGTATCTTTTTCACTGGATAACTGTCCTCTGGGGAAGGTAATAGATAATTAGATTCACATACGAAAGGAAATTAAACGCTTCCTTTTTGTAGATTGAGTGCACATCTACAGACTTCTTTTGTAGGTGCCTGTATTGGAGGGGATGGGAAGGGGGAACGGGTGCAACATATTTTTAAAAATTCTTACAGCAGGCTCAGCGTCGTGAGCTGGTGCTGTGTTGTCCTGTGTACCAACAGCTGCTCGTCTCAAATGGAGCTTATTGCTCTGAGCCTCACAACAGGTGGAATGGATTTCAGGATCAGTGTGTCTTTAGCTGGCTGGCTGACTTTGTAGTGTGGAAGCTGAGTTTCCGATTCTGCCTTGGTACTTACTGGCCTACGTATGTTTAAGCATCTTGATATGCTGTGGCCTTAAAACACAACTTCTTGATTCGTTTTCCCTTTCCTACTCCTTTTCATAGAATCACAGAATGGTTTGGGTTGGAAGGGACCATTAAGATCATGTAGTTCCGACCCTCCTGCTATTGACAGGGGCACCTCCCACTAGACCAGGGTTTTCTATCATGCTGAACTTGCTCAATGCCCCCTCCAGCCTGGCCTTGAATGCTTCCAGGGAGGGAGGGCGCATCCACAGCCACGCTGGGTGACTGTTCCAGTGTCTCATCATCCTTGCACTCCATAGACGTGTAGGTGTCCTGCCCGGGTTCTGAGGAGCCTGAGAAGCAATGCAACCGTATGTAACATTATATGCTCTTTTTGGCTCTCATCTCTTTTGTTATTTTATAGCAGGATAAGTGTCTGTATAACATAGGGCATAAAGGTCTATGTGAACATGATGACATTCCAGCAGTGATAAAGCCCTCAATGTGATGATGCTGTACCTTATCAATAGAATGATTTTTCTTGTGTGTAGGCTCGCCCATTGTTTACTGACAAATGGCTTTAGTGGCAGTATGTGCAGCTCCCAGCCTGACACTGCTCCCTTGGATGCACTGGCAGGTGAAAATGCTGATGCTGCTGCCATGGAACTGCTGATTCTGGACTGTTTTAAGCCAGGATTGGCTCTGTGGTATGGGTACAGTCAGCACACCGGCATGGCTAGGGAGGCAGTGTTTGGGTCAGCGGGACAGAGCTGGGGCTGGGAACGGTACAGAAATCCTGAATGTGTTGCAAATTCATTTGTATCCTTTGAAATATATTTGCATGAGTGAGCGTAGGAAGCTTAGAGCAGATTGGATGTCCTTACGGTGTGGCATATAAATGGCACTGGCAGCTAACACCTGTGCAGATAAGTCTGACAAGAAGTTGGGCCACATCAATTTATTGTGGTGTGTTTATGAAGATAACATCAATATTATGAGCTGTAGGAACTTGATGCATTTGATATGAATGGTTGGTTTGGAATGTTAATTACTATGGCTTCAGTGCTTCAAATGTTTCATTCACTTGCTAAAGTGAGATGTTAACTGCATCAAGGCAGTCACTTCAACGCTGTGTGAGTTATTTTAATGAAGTGCATGTATTGTAACAGCCCGCTTATATTTGAAGAACTTTAAGCCATGTGCAACTATTGTGTTTATATTACTGCTATTGTAGACACACAGAGTAAATATGCCATAAAACTAGGGTAATAAATTAATATAACACCCACAGGTTACCACTTGCTGCAGTAGAAATAAAAATTCTCTTTGTGTAAGTCAACACGGGAAGGTGGTGATAAAATTAACTGCAAGCAGTGAAAACAAGCAGGACGAAAAGCAGGAAATTAGGCTAAAATTACCTGAGGAAATGAGGCTTCTGCAGAACTCCTTGTCCCTGCCTAATATCCTTTTTCTAGTGTCAGCCTCTTCTTTTTTTGGGAGTGGAATGGTGCCTACGAGACTTGCGAAGGCCAGCAGTAGAGGAGAGAGAAGTCTGCATGGAGCTCTAGTGGGATGGTGGCCAGAATGGGCAGCTCCTCAGTGTAGCCACCTCATGGTGCCTGGGGCAGGGTTACTGCTGGAGGAAGAGCAACAAATCTGAGTAGAAAAAGCAGGCTTCCCTAATTCTAATGTGTACAGAACAACTTGCTACTCTAAACAGAAGGAGACAAGCTTGAAGTGTACTTATTATGTAAGCTGGATGTGCTTGAGCAAAGGCTATTCACACATACAGATGTTTTATATATTTATACATACAGCAACATCTTTAACTGGGGCTGAGTAGTACTTTCAGTTCTTCAGAGTTGATTCTGATTCCAGGACAGACATTCGTTTCAAAACCAGTGCCCCATGTTAGAGTAAGTCTTCAATGCTTTCTGTGAGTGATCAGTTGTTTCGTTTTTCACTTGTGGACTTCTGTGCTTAAGGTAGAATGGGAAATGCTGATGTTATTACTGTGATACTCTTTAGATTGCTTCTGTTTATACTGAATCAGAAGTAAAGCTATCCCTTACTTTACTTTACTAAATCTCTTAATTGTTAGCCATTACCTTGTGCTGTGGAGGCACATGTTATTATCATAGCAGCTGAGAGATTTGGAAGGAGATCCATACCAGGTCACCACATGGTGTTCTTTGATACTCGTTTGGTATCGTAGTTTCAGTGGGCGTAATCAATTAAAATAGTTTGTGCAGAGCTGCTTATGTTAAACAGTTTGTATTTATTACATTGCCTCTTCTTCTCCTTCCAGGAAACCCAGCGCTTGCTGGCAGAGCCAGTCCCTGGGATAAAAGCAGAACCAGATGAAAGCAACGCACGTTATTTTCACGTGGTCATTGCAGGTCCACAGGATTCCCCCTTTGAGGGTGGGACATTTAAACTTGAACTATTCCTTCCAGAAGAATATCCAATGGCAGCTCCTAAAGTACGTTTCATGACCAAAATTTATCACCCTAATGTAGACAAGCTGGGAAGAATATGTTTAGATATTTTGAAAGGTAAGTGCAACCTTGTTTTCTTATTATCTTACCACATACAGAAGCTTGGAGATTCTCTCTGAAAGAGATTTCTTTATAAGGATATCTTATTTATCCTTTAATCTGGGAGTGGGAAACTTGTTATTTCAGTAGACTGTGAATGTGGTATTTCATGCTTTCATAAATGTCTCTTTAGATAAATGGTCCCCAGCTTTGCAGATTCGTACAGTTCTGCTATCAATCCAGGCTTTGTTAAGTGCTCCCAATCCAGATGATCCACTAGCAAATGATGTAGCTGAGCAGTGGAAGACCAATGAAGCCCAAGCCATAGAAACAGGTGATGTATCTGATGCTTTTCTTCTAGTTTTAGGAAATATGATGAGCTGATGGCTAATTGGTTGGGGAATTGAAATCCCGGCCTCCTATTTTGTGCCTGCAACTTGCAGAAGTAATTACTGCATGCAGTTGTTGTCCAGGTTTCCTGCATATGCCTGCAGTGGTCTACTCAAGTGTGTAAATGCAACCTGCTAGAAAGAAAACTTAGTGGTTTTCTCTTGAGCTTTTACATTCCTAAATCGCAGGGATGTCCAGTGTGGAGACGTGGTAAAATAGAAATGTGCACTTGTGTTTTACCTGTGATGCTTAAGAATGGGTTATTTAGTTTCAGAAGGTATTTCTTCCATAGCTGCTTTTGTTTCAGGTATGGAAAGAATTATTGCATTGTGTCACTTCTGGCCTCACTGTGATTGGGCTGCTTCATCAGATCTCTGTTTTTGTGTATTACGTATTGTGTATTATAGGAGGTCAAAATTGTGCTTGTTTCACAACTGATACATTTTGTGTCTTTGCAGCAGTGTAAAAGTAATGTTTAAAAAACAAAATAACTTGAATAAAGCTTGAGAAATACTTTTTTTTTTTTTTCTTTTTCTTAAATGTGTTGTTTTTTTTCCTTTACAGCCAGAGCATGGACTAGGCTATATGCCATGAATAATATTTAAATGCGCTTTGAACATCAAGTGTGCATCACTTCTCCTGTTCTGCCAAGACCTCTTCCTTTTTTGTTTGCATTTAATGGACACAGTCTTAGAAACATTACAGAATAAAAGCCCAGACATCTTCAGTCTTTTGGTGATTAAATGCACATTAGCAAATCTGTGTCTTGTCCTAATTCACTATTGTAACGCATGAGCAGAGGCTAGAAGTATCATCTGGATTGTTGTGAAACTGTTTAAAAGCAGCAGCACATCTCTGCTTTTAATCCCATCATGGTTTAAGCATAAGCACTGTGAATGAAGGTAGGCAGGGTTAGCTGCGGGGCTTTTCGTTTTAATTTTGTGGGCTCCTCCTCCCTTTTTATGGTGATGCTAATTGCATTGATAAAAGCAGCTAACCAGTTATACTTTAGAATATACCCTCTAGCCCAGTCTAACTTAGATGCTGTAGATGGACAAGCTTCATTGTTTGAACAAAAAAATGGGAACATTAAACATCCATCACCTTCACTAATAATATTGTGATTCTGCTGTCAAGTGTAGAAAAATCCCTCAGAGAAAAAGCTTGTGACCATTTTGTATGGCTTGTCTGGAAAATCTCCTGTAAATCTTATGTTTTAGTAAAATATTTTTTGTTATTCTACTTTGCCTTTGTACAGTTTATTTTGCTGTGTTTTCATTTCTCTAATGTGACAATCGTATTTAAAAAGAAAAAACAAACAAACATGGAAACCAGAATTGACAATTTGTCTGCTAGTCTGACAGATTAAAAGAGTAAAGAGGTGGAATTCACAGGATGTTTTGCTTCTGTACGCTGACTTTTTTCATTAGCTTGTGTTATGTGGGTGACCTTACCTGTCCAATTTAATACAAAGTTACATTTGGAGTGACTGGAGGCGAGAGGGAAAAAAAATCTGTTACAATTATAATCATCATTTGGATAATGCGTTGATATGCATTGTCACGGAGATGGAGTGTAATCAAGTAGGAGGCTGAGAGCAAAGGTAGCAGTAATTGTGAGTATCTGCATAACTTGTCTTTGATTATCATCAGTTGTTACACTTTTCTAACTCAAATTCCTGTCCTCTGTAAACGTGAGACCTACAATGCACAGAAACAGTTGCAGCTAGCTTATATGTCAACGGGTTTGCTAACCAGGTCTAGCTAGCACCTCTTGCCACTGGTTTTATCTACTGGCCTTATGCCTTATTAAGCTGTTTGCTTAAACAACCAGTCTGCGTCAATAGTAGCAATGCTTCTGACTTGGAGGGAAGGGAATTTCGGTGCGATGCTTCCTTCTTGTCCTTGTGTTTGATGCGTGTGTCGTGTCTGGGAATCCAGCAGCTTTTCTGGGAACCCATCTTATTACTTCCTATAACTTCTTGTGTCTCTATTCTCTTCCCATGTTAGCTGCAACCTCCCAAATACAGTTGTAAAAGCTTTTGGTGAGGCTGACCTGAAGTTTATGAGTGACAAGTAGCTGTGGTTGCAGTGGGGAGTGCTGTTGTGCAATTTGGATTATGATCATATAGGCTACTGGTGTTCTCCCTCCTCTTTTTACCTCTTACTCTAGTATCAGCTGAAATCTCTATAGAATGTGGTCTATTTACTGTGCTCCTAAGGGAGATTAAGAGTATCTATTAAAACTGCTTTTTTTCCAGACAGAATGCTTTCAGTGATTGGTAACTGGTCTTCTCCCTTGGAGTACTCCAAGCGTGATTGAAGCTTGGCTCAGAATTCAACTTCATGATACGAAACAAACAAAACCCCTTAAAAGTAGTTTCTGTGTTGAACACGAGCCAAAGTTGCATTCAGGGCTTGTAACAGGTTGCTCTTAGAATGGAAGTGCTGCTGACCCTACCTTCATGTTACAAATGAGCATGTGCTTGGCTTCGGCTGCTGTGTGTCCCCTATATGCTATTAACACGGGCAGCTTTTGTGGCAGGCAGCTGAGAATGCGTGAGCTGTGTGTGCAGTAGGCTCTGCATTACCTTCACCTACCTCTTAAAGCTTGATATGGGCACTCCCCACTGGATAAGGCTTGCCTCAGCTCTCTGATGTAAGGAAGCACAGAGCTGCCGGGCGGTCAGAGCCCTGAGCATCCCCTGTGAATGTGGCTTTCTCCTCCTTTGGCAGAGAAGCAGGTTCTGAAGTGGTGTTTCACAGCATGTGGCTTAAAACTAGGTGGGCTGAATCCAGGGCATTGGGCAGACGGTTGGTGCTTGTAAGTGCATGGCTTAAACCTGGCTGGAGCTGGCTGTTGAGATGAGAATGTAATTAAAGCTGTGAGTAAGTTCTTGATGGAATATTGTTAATATATAAATAGAAATCCTCTGCCCCCATTTGTTAGTAACCAAATTAAGTGCATTATAGTCCAGTTTGAATACACAGTAGCTGGTATGTGTCTGGGTTATTTATTTTTTTCTCTCTTTTACTGTTATTTTTAGTATCTCAACAAATTGGAGAATTACAGCAGTCCATACTGTCAGTTTGAATTTGTGAGTCAGTAGTAGTGGTGTATCTAATGGTATAAAAGGACAAGCCAGATACTGTATTTCAAAACTGTTTTGGATATTCTCAAGTGATGGTTGTGATGAAAGGAAACTTTAAACAGGCTTCCTAAAAACCGAAATTCCTGTTTGTTGTGGGATCTATTCAGGTATGTTTTAATCCTTCAAAATTTGGCATTTTATGTATGCGTGTATATATATATATGTAATATAAACCTGATTTAAGAGCTGTGTATAAAGTCAACCTGGAAATTTTATTCTATGTTGTGTTGAGGAATGTGAGTTTTAGACTAAATTAGAATCGTAGAATCGCAGAATGGTTTGAGTTGGAAGGGACCCTTGGAGGTCGTCTAGCCCAACTCCCTGCAACAAACAGGGATTCTCTGAAGCCAGGTAGATGGGGCTTTGTCTTTTTCCCCTCAGCTTAGCAGGTGTGTATATTTACAGGCATTATCTGAACTTGAGGTTACTTCTGTCACGTGTACCTTTACAGCTGGTTAGCAAATGCTGCTCTCTCTTAGGGAGTGTTCGTTCTAGCTCCATTTCTAGTGGCCATTGGGTAAACTTACAGCAAATGTACAATAAGTGGGCTTCCTCTGCCATTACTGGTGCTATGTGTCGTGTCCTGGAATCCTCAGTGAGAGCACTGACATTGCATCTGGTCAGTTTCTGGATAGCGACTGCTTCTGTTGAGCCTGGATTATCAAATGGACTCTAAAACCATGCATACAGAACACGGCTGTGGCAATTTCCTTTAGCTCAAGAGGGAAAGGAGGCTTTGGGAGGCTTTTGTCTTTGCATAAACGTTCGGTGGTTGTCTCAACATTTGGCCGCGTGCTTTCATGGGTATGAAGTGTTTCATCACTGGGATCTGGCGTTTGTGCGGTAGCTGACTTTAGTTTAAAACCGGTGAAATGTTGCTTCTGTAGCTTTCGAGAAAGTGTATTTCCAACATGGAGAATATTGTGAAACATCTTACTGGGTTAGTAACATACGGAATTGTGACATCTCAATTTATGTACATTCTGTGGGGTTTTTTTTTCCTTTTGTTTCTTTTTTGGTTTTGTTTTCTTTTTTTGAGGGTTACATTTAAAGTAAAATGTCTGGTAGGTTTTGTCAATAACATGTCTTGACTGTAATGTAATATGACACTGAAATAAAAGGAAGAGTGATTATTCATTACATAGACACTGAGCTTCATTTAACTGCAGCAGGCTGCCACCGCTGTGCAGTGCAACTTAACAGTACTCATCATCTCTTAAAATAAGGAAACCTTAACTTCTCTCATCAGTCACTTGTAATTGATTGTGTTTTTTTCTCATTTCTATGGGGAGGAAAGCTGTGGTGCACAAGCTCAGAGCTTTGCCTGCCTCTATCTGCCTTTTTTAGCCCAAGACTTTTACTGTAACACTGCACAATTTGGATACTACAGTGCAGTATAATTGGCAGGTCTATTAAGTGTTGCTAAGCCATGTTACAGCACTAGCATAGCTCATAATTACGTCTGCTGTAAGGGAGTTCATTGCCACGTATCAGCACCTTTCCTGTCAAAGCCTGCAGGAACAGCATGGGGCATATATCTGATGGCAGTGGAAACAGCTTGAACGCTCCCCCTAGGATGAAGGGTGGCTGTAGTCTTACATTCCATGCAGTAAAGGCAGGTTCATCTTAAAGAACACGATACAGTGAACTGACCCTAGTAGTACTTTTCAGTTGTTTGGTAATTTGCTGTGTTCAAAGATGAGTTTTGCTCAGGGCAGACCCAGAATGCGGGCACAGAATCTTCAGAATTCAGATGAATGGCAGCTAAAAAGACCTTGGTAGGAAGCCTTTGTAGCTGTAGCAGAGGCCAGGCTACAGTGAGAGGGATGAGGTGCTATCTGTGCTTCGTAATACCGTCCACTAGAATGAACCATAACAGATACTTAGGGAAAGTTAATGGGAACCAGTGCTGACACTGAAAGCAGGGCAGTTGAGCATGGGCGATCAGGTAGAGAGCAGCTGACCATGTACCAGTCTCAGTAGCCTCTGCTCCTCCTCAACTAGCTGCAAAGGGCAGAAGAATACCTAGTGTCTTGTTTGAGACAGGGCTCAGCTCTGCCCCCCTCCATGCCACAGGCAGGGACATGGCAGCTGTTGCTGCACTTCCAAGTTGTGTTGTTTCAAAGCATGAAAAAAAAAATGAGCCCCCCATTATGTGCATTTGAAAGGAGATGCAAGACTCTTGCACAGAGAGTGCGGATGCAGCATTTGAGATTGAATGACCACATCATCCACAGGACTAATTTAGATTTTATTTTGGTATTTCTCAAATATAAAAAGTCAAAATTCTTACATCAATCTTTAAAGAAAATCCATGCAAGCAGGTCAAAATGTTTACAACTTATTTTGCACCCCCCCCCCCCCAGTTTTCACTTCACAAACCATGGTGGTAAGTAAACCAAGAGTTTGCCTTCTCTTGTTTTTTGTTTTTTTACAGCACATTGTTAGCAGACTACTGACAGGTCAACGCAGGGTGCAGTAAGCACCAAAATAAGATATTCCACTTCAGCAGCCTCTGTGCAGTCCTTCACTATTTCTTCTGTGTGCTTTTAAACTTTAAGGCAATTTCTCTTTGCTACCACTGTAATGACAGAACTTAATGCAGGAAGCAGTGGCATGAACTCAGCTTTCTGACAGTAGCAGCTGACACACTTCTCTCTCCTCAGCAGAACCAAATCTGGGTACGTCTTACAGAATTCATGGCATGAGGGCAGTCCCACGTCCATTCCCTATACAGCAGATTTGGACCATCTAAATAGAGATGTGCAGAAAATAAGAAGGCTTTACATTTTAATGGATAGGTACTAGAAAAACACCTGTAGCTTTCCAACTGATTTTTAAACAGACCCTTTCTGTTAAGCTTAGGGTCACATTTCATTACAGCTGAAGCCAGACCACTGCTCCTTTACTAAAATGGTTTTCTTTCAGCACAACTGAAGTGCTTTCAATTTACCTGCAGTCAGGTTTGTCCAATTCACAGAACATTCATCTCTGAGAGGAAGTCAAACTAAGCATCACAGCGTTTCCTTCTGAAGGCTGCACAGAGACTGAAGAGGTTTATACAATGAATGCTGCTTCAAAATCCATCCGGCATTGCTGAACAGCTCAAATGTGTGTGACCAAAAAAAAAAACCAAAATATTTATAGGCAATCAACTCTGAGTTTGTTAGTAACAGCAATACTGTACATTTTTACATTATTATCAAATACATAATTCGAGAGTTACAAAATAAGATCATGCATTACCACTAAATCTCATACAAGCTTGGATTGGTTTCATTCCAAGAACTGGAAACTGAGACAGAAGCAGTCTTAGAAATAAGGACTTGAACTCTGGATTCTTGTTTTAGCTCTCACATCTTCTATAGAATCTTGTTACAAGAAAGCCTGTACAAGTTTGCTCAATTTAAAGTATTCAAATGACTACTGAACAAAAAAAGTGAGCAAAAGGTAAGTGCCCAAAAAGCTGAATCTGTCACTCTTTTGAAGGTAACTGCAGAGCCAGAGGTACTTTCACACAACAGGGGGGCGCAGCTTTAACACACACTGAACGTACTAGAAAATGCTCAATTCCACCCTTTGCTATTTAGCTTTTGAAACCACCAAGTTCAGCCCTTCACCTTGTAACTGAAGGCAAGGATCAGCTGTCTGCAGTACCTTCTATGCTAAGACACCTAACAGTTGTGCTCTTTCCCATTCTGGAAGTGATCTGGAATAGGACATACAGGGATGGACAGCCCGACCCAACATTTCACAAGTCTTCAGCTTTGTGGCTCACACCTCTTGTCAGTAGTATTTATGCCTCTTCAAAGAGAGCAGCATTAAGAGATCAGAACATCTGTCTCCCTAGTTCCACTGCATTTACATATGGCACAAGGTTGGTTTTCTAAGAAGTAACTTGTGGCAACATTTTTTTTTTCCTAAAAAAGTGTAACAGCACAAAAAAGTTTAATTTATAGCAGCATTTTACACAATTTGTGTTAAAAAAGTAGAAGTTAACCATTTGTGTATTGAGTAACAAAAGGTTTAAATTACATTTATTTTCCATTTTACACTCACTATTTACTATTTGGACTATTTACAAAGGTTCAAATGCTGTGTAGAGAATGAGCTATACCCAGAATAAACTTCACACGTGAGGTAATGCTTTACCTCAGCCTCTGCTCTGACTGGCGGAGAGGACAGTTGGGTTTAGATCCTAGAAGAAATTCAGAATTAAGGTGTTCATATGAACTGGATTGTGTTCCTGTAAAAGAAAGCCACGTACACACATACACAGAAAGAGTAATCCTATGGTTGAAACATATTAAGACCTACAGTGGGTTTAGGTTTCATCTTGGCTGAAGAAGAGGAGAAAACAACAAAGCAGAGGGGAGTTTTGAGCGGTACCTCATTTATTCCAGGTGAGTTTCACCACGAGGCCAGCTGTTTATTACAAGATGCTAGAGCAACTGATGTTAAAACAGTGAAACTCAAGTACTAAAGAGCTAACTTTAATACAGGGCTTTCAGCATGCCTTCTGAATAAGACAGAGGAATATTATTCCTCCACCAGCATATCAACCTACCTGTCTCCAAGGCCCAAGAAGTACCACAACCAACTCCCACTGGGCACAACACTTGAGCACGTGCTTGCTAATGAACACTGCTTTACCTTAAAGTCCCATTTTCCTCCAAGCATTTTTAAATAACAGACTGCATGAACACGATATAAGATGCTTGTCACTGGAGGTTAGCAGGCTTTGGATCCTGCCATTATAATTGCACTATGAACAAAATGTGCACCAAAATGCTGAAAGGAAAAAAAAAAAAAAAAAAAAAAGGATGAGGGAGGGAACTACAACAACCTTCACATACATTTTCTGATGGTTGACCGAGTAACACAAGTATAGCAAATGGGTTTGGTAATTGCAAAACAGAAGTTACTGTCCCTGCTCTAGTCCTACATTACGTGAAGGTTGCATAGGACAAGACAACCTTTTGGATGCCTGAGGCAAACAGTGCTTAGTGTTGGTATCCTTAGCTCTCAACAGCTCAACACGGGTCAGTGTGCTTCACTGTCACATATCTGCCTTCACCTCCCCAAACAGTGCAGTCTTCAGTTCTTAGCACTTCACCTGCAGATACCCAATAAGAGTTTAGTATAAGACAAGCTGCTCACGCTTTTCTCTAAGCAAGTACTCTTGCAGAACTACTGACAAGTCTTAAATAAGCCGAACACCACTTAGATGCATACTTTATTTTAGCAGATATGGAAATTTATATACTCAAGTTTCCTCTCTTAAAAAATGGCCTACTAAGGCATCTTAAAAAAATCCATATATGGCTTTGGTTTGCTGAAATACTATTTTACATTGTTAAAAAGGAAAAATCATTCAAATAAACTCGACATGATGACACTTTCACATATTTCACTTAGAACTGACAGTTATACGGGTGCCTGCGTGTAATCAAAGATGTCTCCCCTTGCGATGGCGTGAATAAAAAGGTAATCCAAACGTTTATCTCACAGTAGAGGGCAACCCAGAAGTCTGTGCAGAAGTGACATACAGGGAGTTATTATCTGGGAGAGGGGGAACCACAGAGTTTCCATTCGTAGGGGAGCAGCTCAGTTTCAGTTTTTCCAAGTACTCTGCGTGAACAGGCTTGTGGCACTGAAGGACCTTGATTGCGTCTTCTACTTTAAACCATTCTCTTTTCCTTCCTGAAGGAGTACAGTACACAGAGAAAAAGTTAGATGTTTAACAGCACCGTCGGTTGCTATCTGATCAATCACATCCCAGTTACTTCGGGAAGTTCAAGTCATCAGACAGCACACTAAGAAGACATGAAGAGAATGGATGAGCACGAGAGATTCACTTAAGCCAGCTGAAGCAGTTCATAATAAAGCAGATAGTGGGCAGGAGCTCACAGGACTGTTCATGTAGGCCTTACAGGAAGGGGTTGGTATTTAAGTGACTCAATACTGCCCTCTTACACTGTCAACCCTGGCAGTGCTCTGAAGAGCAGTGGATGGTTCCTGGGCTGAGCAGGAATGGAGCAGCACTGCCTTCATGATCCCTGCACACTTTGACCTTGAGTAGCAGCAAAACCACCCCCATATCGATCCTCTGAAGTAACAATCAGTGTTGCTCTACA